GTTGAAGTGTTGTGTACGAAGTTTTATAATCCAAATTTTCTTTGTTTTAGGTAAGTAAACTTGTTAATTTCGGCTTTAACATTTTATTAGGTGTTTTTAGTCAAGTTTGAGTTAGTTAACTACAATTGTAGCATCATTACCGCGTTTAAAATAAGAAAATAGGTGTGATAAACCGTATCGGTTTTTTCTCTATGTTTACCGAAAACACATGTGACATGTAGTTACGATAAAACAAATAAAATTCTTTTTATGTAATGAGACCTATGGCAAAGAGTAAAGACTCTTAGTGCTCGTTCACAATGGACGTAACCATAAAAAAAACATAAGAAATACATAAAAAAAAGTACATAAGGATACATAAGAAGCGTTCACAATGTGCATAGTACGTAATCTTTACGTTTATGTGACTCTTATGTAAAAATTATGGAGTACCGTAAAAATCACATAAAGTTCAAATAATTTAACTTTATGAAATATTTATGTAATTTAATGGGAAAATTCGGTGATTTTTGGTTTGTTATGTTTTTATATTGGCAACTCTTGCGTTTATGTGACTCTTATGTAAAAATTATGGAGTACCGTAAAAATCACATAAAGTTCAAATAATTTAACTTTATGAAATATTTATGTAATTTTTTGGGAAAATTCGGTGGCTTTTAATTTGTTATGTTTTTATATTGGCAACTCTTGCGGTGCCTATATAGTAACCATTTGCTATGGAAAAGGTTGAGTCACCGGTAGACAAATACCTAAGATAAAGCCAAATTATTATTTTAGTTTTTTATTATAATAAAAGTAGGTACAAGACACCCAAAAGAACAGAAATTCAAACATCTCGAAAAGACATTACTTGAACTATTCAAATCCATTTTAGACTAACTTCTTTTTTTTCTTTTTTTACCATTCTATGCTAAAATTAAAAAGCATTACCATTGCCATTATTATTGTTTAATATCAATTTAAAATTAAATTGTTTAATATCAATTCAAAATTAAGCACATTGGCCATTTAATCCTATGTTGTAACCTTACATTGTATGTATTTACATAAGGATTAATAAATACGTTATTTATTTATTTAAAAGTAGGTAAACAACCTCAATGTAATGGCCAACCGTTGACTTGGACGCTCTGTTTAATCAATTTAGGGGACACTAGTTTTAGCAATTCCTCAAATAATGAGGCTGTCATTCTAGTAAGTATAAGTAAAAAACCATTCAGTGTCATGAAGTCGCATTTCAATAATTAGTCTTCGAAACCCTTTTTTTCTCTATCTCAATTTATAGGACGAACCCACCAGCGTCTTGTTCGTTTTGGTTTTACCCTATCTTGGCGATCTTGGCATCTTCGTCTTAGTAGTAACAATAATAACAAATTCTTCAGTCTCACTCATTTTAAAAACACAATTCACAAATTTTTAATTTAAATTAAATTAAAATGACATTAGTTTGACATGCACAACATGTCAATTTTTATGGTCATTGTGAACGCTCTTTGGGTTTTATGTAAATTTTATGGTTATGATTTATGATTTCATTATGTATCTTTTATGGTTATGTCCATTGTGAATCCACACTTACTCTTTGCTTATGGGTTGTTTAACTAATGCAAGTTTTGATAGAATTTAAATAGTTTTAAAGCGTTTTGATTCAAAACTTTCAATCAAAACAGTTTTTAACGTTTTTTTTCTCGACACTAGTTGCTGTTATACAAAATGTTAAATATAGGTACCTATAATCTTTGTCAAAATGTATGTTTTTGTTAAAATTATTTGATGTAGCTACGCAAAAACTGGACCTGGGTCCAGGGCCCCACTACATTGGCATTTGGTGGAGCGGAGGTTATTGAACGAACAGCCCCCTCATCGGTGGATCGGACGTAAAGGGTCCAACAATTTGGCACTTCATGTATGGTCAACATGTTCAACCGATCTCACAGTGTGCAACTTCTTTCTCTGGAGCTTTATAAAAGATAACGTTTATGAGCCCCAAGATTTGTAAAAGCTGAATACATGAATTGGAACTGCCGAGTATCTACAAGATGTTTGCAGCTGGAAGAGGTCATATTAAACACTTGTAAGCATACAGTTCAAAACTTGATTATATTACAAATGTTTTTTTTACATAAATATAGCATTTTTAACTACAGGGTGATAATCTTCTACAGTATTTTTATAGTTATTTTATTTGAAGGGGTCAATGCAAGAAGTGTCTTAAGTCACATTTTCAATTAAATTTTTATTCTGGCTTCATCTAAGAGTTTTCACATAAGTTGAAAACCAGGCAAACTCCCATGGAAGTAAATGCAAACTAAGGCGCTTGGGCACATATTTCTGCCACTATGAAAATACCACCTGAAACCTTACGTGAAACATTTAGATGAAGCCACAATGTAAATTTAATTGAAAATGTGACTTAGGCACTTAAGTGCAAGAATTCTTGCATTGACCCCTTCATTTGTTCTATCTGAAAGTCTGACATTTTTAATGTACATAAATAACTAGACAATTCATAAGCAAACCTTTTAAAGAAATATTTTTTAAGTTTTTAATTCAATTATTTTTTGCTACAATATGAATTGATTTTAATTTAATATAATTAATTTTAGCTTCTGCAATAATGGAACAATTAGACAAGATTTATCCTGCATGAAGAAAAAGAATGAAAGCTTTACTCGTCAATCCCATACAGAAATATTTGACCAAATTTTTTTAATAATAGGTAGATATATTTTTTTTTATTTAGAATACATTTTTAGTTACAAATAAATTAAGTAGTAATATTTAATTCAAACTTAAAATTAAATATTTAAACTACATAAATAGTTTGAATTATTTGAATAGTTCAATAATTACAATCATAATCTATTCAAATAAGTTAATTAAGGGTTAATGACAAGTAAATAACATTCTTTTTATTTCAAAATAAATTTTAAATTACAATTCCAATGTTCCATTTCTTCAATTACTATTGGACAATTTTTATTTTCTAATTGAACCATTTAAAAATTTGAAACATTCAAACTATTCAAATAATTCTTGAATTCAATATTCACACATCCATAGTTACAATCCAAATATAAAAAAGTAAAAGCCTGACCATTAAAGAAAGTACACTTTTAGTATTTACTACAAATATAATTCTTTATTGTTAAAACAAGCAATCTGACATTTTTATATTACATACACTTCTGCTTTAAATTATTATTTTGAGGCAGAAATATTTTGTTTAGGATTTTTATTAGGATATTAAAAAAGGATATTTTCATGTTAAAACAGCTCAAGTTAACCATTATTAGTTTTTATAAGATTTTTAAATTAAAAAATAAACAAAATCATATTTAGTTAGTTACTTAGCTTGTTTTTACAATAAACCATTCAATTATTTTTATGCTGATAAAACAATTACCTTTAGCATAAATAAGTGGCATAAATATTGAAACAATATTTTTATTTCATTTTAAACATTATTAGGTAATATCAATTGTTTTACAATTTAAATTGATTTTAAAATTGGTATTGATTTCAGGTTTGGGTTTGTGTTAATGGAAGAAGCAGACAGGCCTTGAATTTATCAAACTTCTTTGCAAAAGATCATAGAAAATATCAATTGCAGTTGAATATTCTTCATTGAATCAAGAAAAAGACGCAGGTTCAATCCATGAATCATGAACAAGAAAAAAGACAATTAATACTTAATATTGACCACAAAGTTAAATCATACATAAAGATTTTAATTTTGCCAAATACATAATAACAATATTTTTAACATTGAGATTTAAGTGGTTCTATTGATTATTAATTTTAATAAAACCAATTTTACTAAAAATTAAATATTCCAAAGAATGTAATTTAATTTTTGGATAAGTAGGAATTCCTTTTTGCCAAAAACTCTATATTTTACAAAACTACAGTATTGTGCTTATTTTAAAAACAAATTATAATCATAATTCCTAAAAATTATAAGAGTATGGTTTGTAATAAGTCTAATTATTGCATTAAACATTTTAGGCATTAGCCTTTTGGTTTATTCCAATAAAGAAACTTAATACTACATTAAGAAATCTGGAAATACCTATAGGTATACAATAAGTCAGTATGTATTACAAAATTATTTATTTTTATAAATTACATATTCAAAGTTAAAATAATTTTAATTATATAATATACTCGAACTGTTTTAAAAGGTTGTTTTCTAATAAGGACCAATAAGTATTGAACTATTGTTTATCAAGAATTTATCAAATATTTTGATGGTTTGTATTATGTTTTAGAGTTAATTTGTTTATAAACCTTTGCATTTTTATTAAGAAATCTTAAAAACCTAAAAATTGTTATTATGTGACACAAAATTAAAATTTCTGAACATTATCGCTGTAATCAAGCGATAATTGTCTTGTAGGCATTTATAAGAGGGTAATTATCAATTTAATGTCATAATTTTTTATAAATTATACCTAAATAATTATAAATTATTATACATGTTTGATAAACCTTTTTTTAAATATCACTAAAAGTTATAGAATAATTAACTTTGAATTTCTTCTCATTTAAATATTATTTGTTAGTTATACTTTAATTTAAAATTGAATTAAGTGTATATTTTGTTAAATATATTTATTAAAAAAACAAAAATGTGTGTTTTTCCACTTAATTAGTGGAAAATAACCGAAAATTGTCGAAATTTTATATTTTTTGATTTTTAATGGACAATATTACGTATATAATCCTTTTAAAATCAAAAAAATATAAAATTTAAACAATTTTCGGTTATATTTCCTTGTTTTAAATAAAAATTCAAATAGCCAAACATTCAAATTTCCCGCCGAAAAAAACAACTCGGTTTTCCAAGCCTGCTAGATTTAAAAATCAACCAATGCTTGTTGCCACTTTTGACTACAGCGCTTTTAATTCTCTTATGTTCTGTGGTTGCATTAATGCAGCATTAGTGAATCTCTTGACGTTTAACTTTTGAGTAATTGATTTCATATTAATTTTTCAAGATGATGATTCTGAGACAGTTAGTATTGTTAAGTTTTGGATTTTTTTTGGTTTGTGGTAAGTAGGAACAGCCAAGGAGGCGTTTTTAAAGAAGTCTTACATTTTGTTGTAACGTAACTGTCTGGTATTTCGTTGTTCTTTTTATCACGTGATACGTTTTTTGTTTTTGTTAAATTATTCATGGTAAATGTTATACATGTAAATGGTATTTATTTTTTTACCAATTTCGCAATATTTAAAATACCAGATTGTAGGTTATGATTAATAATGATTAATAATAGTATTCTATTTGTTGAAATGTTTGTGTTAACTGATAACAGCTTTTATTTTTTCCCAAAACTTAAATAAACAAATGAAATTCATGCTGAGCAATCCAAAATAAACTAGTTTACAATAGGTAACCTTGTTTAAGTAGGTAGTTATCATTATATGTAGTTGGTATGCATTTTTCCGTTCACGCTTTTATTTATTGGTGAATGTTTTTAAACTTTTGTCATCCTATTACCCAAATACTTATGGCAAACCAGAACATTCACTATAACCATTATAATAATTGCCACTCGATATGTACACTTTTGTTTATGACAAGCGCAAATTCGACTTTCGCTTCCCTTTAGAGAGATAGCGAGAAAAAAATCGTTAATATTTACCTACCCCCGAAAATAAAATTAGCACCCCCAACATTTTATGATTTTTTTTCTATACTATTATTATAGTTCTGAAACCAAGGAGGAATCTAAAATGTCCAAGAATACTTTACCTACACATAAAACTATACAATACTCGAAGCAATGATTGGCCATTCAAAAGAGTTTCCTCAGAAAGTCAAGAAATGGCCAATGCTATTGACAATCTTATAAAATTTGATTTTGATTGTACTTCTTGCTTCGTTAATCAATATGCTACCAAATTTAAAATACAGCAGGATATTTTGAAAGCTGACAGGGTCGTCATAAAAAACACCATAAAACATTGAGGTGGCTTAATAATGTTTTTTTTTAAAGTGATCAATATTGAAACTTATTTAATAATTACAAACTTTTTAAAATTTCACTTTTATTGCCAATAAGCTTAGCATATGCTGTATATATGTTGTGAGAGATCTTTTTCGGCCACGAGGATAAAAAATTTTTGCTGAGTATTTAAAGTTTGATTGAGAATCACCAGAATGGAACAATGTTATTATCATTTTAAAATCTGCTGATTTCCAAAAAGCGGAGATTACACATACATGATTGCGACTCATAAAATCATATTTGGCTGTACTAAACCTTATTCCTTTTCATACCTTCATCACTAACAGTACTGAGAATTAATGTATCCATCTAGTCACAGTGTAGTTTAGGAAAATCTGATTTTAAGAGTGATCGCATGTGTATGATTATTGTGTACCTACTATTCATTGTAATTTATTATTTTTTTAAAGTTGTATTTTGTATACTTTTATTTGATTTTGTTCAGTACAAACTTTCACATTTTAAGTTCTACATTTTAAATAAAATAACTAAATAAGTACTTTAAAAATTATAATATTTAATTTTTACTAAATAGATGCCTAAAGATTTTTGAAAATAGTAATTTCATTTGTATGTGAGATAGATATGTAGATAGTTTTTCTCTACGCGTGTCCTAAAAAAACATTAAAAATTAGCATATAGCAAAAAAATTGGTAGGATAAGTATACAACAAATGTCCTATAGGATATTTGGTGTTAATTTTTATTGGTTTGAATTTCTGACCAATTTTTTATTTTGAATATATTTTTAGTATGTGACCATTACATACATTCATGAAAATTTATTACATTGGAGATATTCACAGCATAATAAAATTTTATCAAAGAATTACTATAAAATGTAATTTATATTTAAAATAATAAGTGTTTATGTTAATCGATGTTTTTTTTTCTATTTTATGTTTAACGCAAATAATTATTTGATTATGATATGATTATAATCATATTTTACCTAATTATTAGTAATGTAAAAAATCATATTTTTCGAATTTAAAAAAAACAACTTTTTTTTTCAACTTATAAAAAACTTCTATAATACTTAAAAAAGCGTTTTTTATGAAAATAATAAACGAAAAAGTTTATGACAAGGACAAGTGTTGCCATCTACAGTGACGTAAAGACACCATACCAGCATACAAACTCTAAACTTGGACCAAGACACAAAAAAATGGGAGATTTCTATTAGAAATAGTCGTTTGACAGCTTAGCTGCCCAGTTTTAGTTTTTAGTACCTATTGTTAACTTTCAGAAAATAGGGGATTTTGTGGTTATGTTCCCAGCAAAACAATGTTTTCTTCCACGAAATGAATTTAAAACGCATGACAGCGTTATCTGACGCAAATATTTACGAGAAGAATACCCTTTTCTTTCCAATAGTTATAATAAGAAATATATTGCTTTAATATCGATGGGTTAACATCATACTGCGTGCAAATAATATATAATAGTGAAACTTTATTAAGGAAAAAAATGTTTCTGAAAAAACAAATTTATGAAAAAGAAAAATGTTTAAAAAACGTATTTTTTTCAGTTCACATCATAAATCATAATGATAATTTATATTATTGCCTGCAAACTCAAAATTAAATAACATTTATTTAAACAAAATAAATTCAAAAATACCCACCTACTTGGAAAAAATTTTTTTGACAAACTAAACAATATAAGTTGTTTGGGCTTGACAATATACGTATTTTTATTAGTACCATAAACTAAACGTTATAAATGCTATGTAGGTAAATATTTGTATTGCAAATAAATACCAAAAACCACAGATAACGAATAAATAATGGGATTCCCTAAAGCAAGTTGGGGAATCACACAAACAAACATTTGAAGATCTATCTGCATACGAATTACTGCCACTGTTGTTCACTTTAAGTAGGATTATATACTAAAAAGAAAAGTGACACATAAAGGTTTTTAAAATTGAACTTTATTTTGTTTTATGACCATTTATTCTTATAAAATGTGGACAACTATTTTCTAATGAAGTTTCAAAAATAAAAAGTGAACATTTTATATAAAAAAGTTACTTATGATTATTTGATTTTTGTCATAAACTGTCAGAATTTTCTTCTCTTAATCTGCGGCTAGCTGAGGTACCTTGGCCGACTAAAGGCCAAACGTCGCAAGCAGATGTATTATATTTGTACTATGATGGAAATATACGTCGAACCTTAATCAATCATCGGCGATGATCATGCGATGACAATTTCCCGACTTGCCGACGTTTGGCCGATCAGTATTAAAATTTCTCGGGATAACGTCGAATTTATGCGCCGGCCCGACGTAATCGAGCTTGCGTAAGTAGCGGTGAGATGTATCGCTATTATATTTGTTTATGACTTTGTTAATTAATTACATTTTTAGTATTTTTTGTAGCAATCATGTTTAATATTGGCCATTTTACCTATTAAGTAAAGAAAATTAATTAATATTTTAGTGTTGTTAGCTATCTGGTAATCATTTTTTGACATTAAAGTATTTAGGGTTTTTAAAATGTAATTGTTTTTTTATTAAATTAAAAATCTACTTACTTCTGAAAAGTAAACACAATTATCAATTTTAGACATTTATAAGTATACAAAAAATATAAGTAGTTTGAGCATACAAATAATATTACTATTTCTATGCTTTATGGTGTCTGGGAAATAAGTTTAGCGTACAATTACAAGTTTCCTGAAACAAATTTAAAAAAAATGGGGTTATCCATCATAAAAGGGTTGCATGATTTTGTAAGATATAAATTAAGTTAAAACTAAAATTGACTAAAATAAATTTTATCCAATATTTTTATTTTATTTTAGGGCAAATGGAAGAAGCCCCTCCACAACCAATAATTAATTCTACAACAACCTCTACCACCACAACTACAACAACTACAACATCCACAACCACAACTACAATGAAACCAAATACAACAACAACTACAACTCCCAAACCAACCACCCCTCCTCCTAGTCCAACACCAACTCCAAAACCAACTTCAAAACCAACTCCTAAACCAACACCAACTCCTAAACCATCCCCCACTCCTAAACCATCCCCCACTCCTAATCCATCCCCTGCAACATGGTCAGTAAATTATGTTGGTAAGTAAATTTACATATATGTTAAGGGATACAAATGCAATTTTTTTTAATGAAGTGAAGTACAGAAATATATAGTAAGTGTTACATTTCACTTGGTAGCCAATAGGGTGTCAATCCCAAGCCATTTTTCCAATCCCGGGAATCACGGCATACCGGGATAAGTCCCGAAATATAAATCTCTAATTTTAAAACCAATTTAAAATAAAGGAACAAACATAAATCTTTAAAAAAATAATTTAAAATAAACGAACAAATAATATCTTTTGAACTTCAGACTATTTGGAGGAATGGTTTTGAAGAATTCGTAGGCACATTGTACCCACGTTTACCCCATCAACAAATAATTCCATTTCTTGTATTAATCAGGCCTTGGGGTTCCAATTAAGGCTGTAAAACTTCAAAAGATTTTCCCTATGCGCGTATAATCTCCGCGATGAAAACCTTGTCATCGCTATTTTCTATTCTATATAAAAAGTTTTTCTCATTTTTCTTTATTTATTAATTTACCCAAAAAAATTACAAGGAATTTATAACAGGCTTTAATATAATTACAACTGCAAACAATTTATACATATTACATTCTTTGAATAAAAATAATTGATTATACAAGGCTCCGAAACAAATCTATATTTTTTACACATTTAACATTATCTAGAAGTTCATTGAACCATATCACAGCACTATGAGATATTCTGTTTGTACCTATATTTCTTGCACTAGGTAGAACATTGTAATGTTGGTTGGTTTTTGTATTACACTCATGAATATCACTGTTCATTTGTAGGTCTCTGATCGAATCCCAGCCTATATGTTTATAGTCGAATACCTCCTTGATGGAGGTATTTCTTTGTTGAGGTTTATAGTGGCTGTGACTGGGATGTGATCAGAGTCCAATTCATCGATGACTGACTGAATTAGTGGGTTCGTCCGTGTGACTCAACATAAACTCGGTCTCCAACATGTTGTTCCACATGATTCTCCTATTCTCATTACTAATACTACAGTTCCATAGCTAGTGCGTTGCATTAAAATCTCCTACCAAGATGACCTTACCTTTCCCTTGCGTGAGTTTGTCGAGATCGCTACAAGTAAACCTGTGGATCGGTGGGTTGTATAAGCCACATAGATATAGGTCATCACTTAACCTCACCATGAGGTGTTAGATTTACCGGTTATGGTCCGGTAGTTTCAAGTAATTATATTCAGGGTTTTAAATTTGACAGTTGATTTGGTTTATCGCGAAATCAAGAAAAGCGTAGAACTTATAGGCTGGGGTTTTAGCCTGTTGGATCAGTCGCGTCAGATCTTGTAGAGCTCGCAACATCTGTCATGTTCATGTCCAATTCATGTCCAATTGAACTTTGAAATGGTGGTGTTTAACACCATTATGTGTATATGCATTGTACTTATCTTTTTACTCTGCGGAGGTGGGGGTCGGCTGTGGCATCGATGTTGGACTGGCTGGCGGCTCTCCGGGTGTTGATGTATATCCTGGCTTCTCACTGCTTAACTGCTGAGGCAGGCGCTGGGATAAACTTGGGAGCAGTGTTGGTATTTGGGGCTTTGCTTTGTTTTCGGTGTTTGTATAGGGGACACTATAGAATTGGCTGTGTGGGGACCGTTACAATTATTAGACAGAGAGGCATCTCTGTGTTTTTCAATAGGAAGATATCTGCGATTTGTATGTCGTATTTCTGGTGCAGAAATTGAGTAATTTCCTCCACATGAAAACCCGCATCGAGGCCCCTGAGTATATAGGCATGTTTCTTATCATCCTTGGTGGCGTAAGTAAGGAACTCTTGTTTCTTCTCTGTATGGTGGGTCTTGAGTCGTCTAATCTCGCTCAGGCCCTTCTCGTAGACCAGCGTGGTGTTCTTAGCGTATTTAATGCGGTACCCAAGCCTCAGGTGTGGTTTGAGCATCCCTTTCAACTCCATGTAGCTCTTTGGGACGAACGGAATCACTGTGGGTGGCTTCTTGGCGGCTGCTGCCTTTGCGTTGATTGGGCGGTGGTTTTCCTCATCAGATTTTTCTTATCGCGTGTCGTCTTGCTGTTTGTGGTGGTCTTTATTGTCTTCTAGTGGGGTAAACTTGTTGGCAGTCGTGGTCGGATTGAAAAACCTTGCTCTCAGCTTTTCTAGGGGTCCTGGTTGCATGTCTTTTTGGGTTTGACGAAGTTCTGGTTGCCTCCTAGTGTTTGGGTGCTAGGCTTTTCTTTGGCCTCTTTTGTTGACTTGAGCTCTTCTATGGTCTCTGTTTGTGGCTTAGGCTTTTCATTGGCCCCTGTGGCGGTCGTAGGCTCTTCATTGGCCTCTAGTGGTTTTTCGTCTTTGTTAGTTGAGAGGGTTTCTGCTCGAGTTTGATGTTTTGGGGTTATCTCCCTGTTCGGCTTTTTACTATCCGTGGATATCGCACTACAGTCCGACGAGTATGTTTATGTGTATTCGGGTGTGTTCGGTGTTATACTTGCGTTTTTTATCGTCTTTTTTCTGTGGTTGACTTCCTACAGTCTGACAGGACGTAATGTCTTTTTCGATTTTTCTAGGGGATATGCTATTAGGTTTGGAGCCTACCGTCATTCCCCGTCCTCGTTTGCTCTTTTTTAGCTTGGGCTTGTCTCTCTTTTACGGGTGGCTCACCGCACGGCACTTAGTGTCTAATGGGCACAACACTGCACTATTAACTAATTAACTTAAATAAAAGGTATTTTCCTTATAAACAATAAAACGTCTTTGAAAATTATCGATTTAACACGTCTGAATATATTTCGCACCAGAATGGTTCTGGGTTGGTCTCTGGACGACTGTATTACTCGCTCGTAGTACTTATTTAAGTCGATTAGCGTTAAGTATTTATATTAAATATTTAAAATGGCTGAAAAAACTCCAAACCAAAAAGTTCCAATCGGTACCTAAATGCATAACCTGCGATTCTGTAATGCACAAAAGTTGGGCAAAACTAAAAAATGTTAAGTTTTTAAATGATAAAGATATTGTATGCTGTTATACTGAAAATATTTAAGAAATTGTACAAACAAATTTTAACAGCAAATCCGCAATTTTCAATAATCCTTTAGCTGTTATACTATCTTAAGGAGATAATCAAGCAAATGGATGTATTAATTTATAGCCAAAAAACAATATTGAGTCTCTAGAAGATGAAATAAATTTAATTAATAAAATAAATAATCTAAAACCAAGTAAACCCCAAAATTATAAACAAAAGAAAATGCAACTAACATAACTCCAGTTAAAGAAAACAAATCAAATATTAAAGGGAAAACTGAGGTTTCAACATAAAGAAAATTTCATCCTAAAGTTTATCTCTAGGGAATTCTAGAAAATGCCTGTGAAAAATTTATTAATATTAATACACTGATGGCTTTAACCTCGCTGGATATGCAAACGCATTCAAAAAGCGAACGAATAGGACTGCTGGTATAGGTAAACTCAAGAGCCCTTATACTTGTGCATTAAAGGTTGATCCAAAGAAAGGTTTTGTTTATGTATTTAGGATGGATCCCAAGAACAAATTGGATGATTTAATAACTCTGACCCGAAGGTGCTTATTTGCCGAGTTTTTTTACCAAAGGATAAAAACCCAGCCAAAACATAATAAACAACAATATTACTGTATACTACCAAAATGTTCGGAGATTAAGGACAAAAACAGCTGAACTTTATAAAATTGTTTCGTCCACCAATTTCGATGTTATTTGCTTGACTAAAACTTGGTTAAACTGAACGAGTTGGAGTCGTGGTCGCTGTTAAAAAATCTTATGTATCATGTTCAAGAAGCTAATCCAGAGCAAGTGTTTGTTTATGTTAAATTAAACATTGATAAGTTTTTAATTGATACTGTGTATATCCAACCCCAGTCTACGTCGGAGGTGTATGAAGCGCATTGTTCCAGTGTTGAAAAAAATAATCGACAACCTAGACAATAAAGTAACTAGTTATTCTTGGTAATTACAATTTGCCTCATGCTAATGGGAATAATGAGGGTCTTGGGGTACAGGCTTCTGGGGTACTATCAGAAAATTGTAATATTCTATCTAATTGTTTTGCTCATTGCAAATTCTATTAAATTAATACTATAAAAAATATATATAATAAAATGCTTGACCTTGTTTTTTCAAACAATAACTATTGATATAAAATAACCAATGCTGGGATAAAATGTTCAAATTAGGGAAAATATATCAAATTTATTAAATCCGAAATTATCACAGGATTTAAAACCATGTGTCTATTGTATTAAACATTTTAAAGCATTATCGTTATTTGTTAATCATTCTGTCCAGTAAAACACTAATAGTGTTTATATACTATTCTATATAATATTTTAATTTTAAAATCCCAATTATTTTTAATTTTAGATACAAATCGAACTTGCATTGTGGCTCAGGTAGCAGTACAAATAGAGGTACCAATGGGAAATACAAGTTGGAAAATTAATTTACCGACAACCGCAAATGCTTCTGGAGACTGCTCTCAAAATAATACAGAAGTTCTTGAATTAAAATGGGGAAATGCAAACATGATAAAAATTAGTTTTGATAAAACCAACACAAGCAAATTTGAAGTACAAAACATGAGCTTTGCTTTGAATTTGACATTTCCTGGAAAAAATGGTAAGACTATTTGAAAATTAAAATAGAAAGCACAATAATATGTTTTCTGTGAATTGACTAATGTTATTACAAATTTATTTATATTTATGCTGATTAAAATTTTCCATATCATACAGGATACAAATAATATTAAATTAAGATAAAAACAATATGAGCAATTTTAAATGTAAAATCATTTATAACGATTATTACTTTTATAATAATTTTATGATAATCATACAAGTTTAAGACATTACAGAATTATATGTAACGCGTTCCGAAAAAACCTTAGGTCCAAAAAATGATTTTTTCCAATCCTATTACGGAATATGACCGTTTTAATATCACTTTTTAATTTGAAATGACATATTCCTGGAAGTATTACAGAATGAATTATTCTATCATCGGATGACGGAATAAACACTGATAGCGACATTTCTGTATTTAATATCTAACAAATTTAGACCGATCTAATCTCACTTTCTCCCAATTAAATTATTTTTCTATGGTATTTTTGGAAACGTAGAAAAAGTATAGTCTGAAACTCGTTTAAAATTGCATATTCCTCTCTCGTGAAACCGTTATCAGTCTCAATAGGGAAAATTTATTTATTGACAAAACTTTGAGGTTGTTTTAAAAAGATATAAACAAATAAAGTAGGCCATGGTGTACAGCATAAACATTAGGGTGGGCCGAAAAAATTATTTTTTGAATTCAATTTAGGGGTAGCAAAAAAAATTTACCTTATGCCAAAAGTAGTTTGTAAAAAAAAAATTAGCGTACTAGCCCAATATTTAAGGCCCCCCCTGTGCGCCCAAAATATTATTTTTTTATATTTTTTTTGGGGGTAGCAACAAAAAGTTACATTTTGTTAACAGTAATTCTAGAAAAAAAAATAGCGTACTAGCCCAATATTTAAGGCCCCCCTGGGGGCCCAAAATATTATTTTTTTATATTTTGTTTGGAGTAGCAACAAAAAGTTACATTTTGTTAACAGTAATTCTAGAAAAAAAATTGATTACTAGCCCAATATTTAAGGTTACCCCGGGGGCCCATTTTTTATATTTTAATTGGGGTAGTCACAAAAAGTTACCTTATGTTAACAATATGTCTAGAAAAAAAGTCCGATATTAAATTTGACGTCAAAAATTTGTCGGTTTAGCAAAAAATGTTTATAAATTTGGAAATGTTTTTTTTTTTAAATAAAAGAACTAAAAATATTTATAAGTCAAGCAGACGACTTCTATATAAGGTTTGGCAAGTTTCCCTTTCACACGCAAGCGGTGAAAAAGTTTGTGAAGCTTGTAACAGAAGCTGCATTACAAATTTGCTGTGAGGTAGCAAGAAATGGTTATAACCATATATATATGGATGCGCAGACATCTTTACCGACAACAAGTCTCAATATTATTTAAATAATAAAAAATACTGGGTGGAAGGGAGCGGATGGAACTCGAGGAGCAAATATCCAATTAATTAATAATAATAATAATAATAAAAATAAAAATGCTTTATTGCATAAAACACAAAATTAATTACACAAAAGGCTGCGTTCGTAAGGACGTCCTTCCATACCACCTACTAAGAAATTAAATCTATTTTATTCTGCATATCACATATTAATTAAACTAAATCCTATAATTTCATATCACAACAGTTAATAACAAATTAAATGTGTTTGGATATTGAAATATTACGTTAAAGAATGTTTTATCGTTCAAAATTTTTATAGATAGGTCTATAAACGAATCCTTAGATTTTGAAGTTTTGTGACTAGGTATTTGAAAAAGATTGTGCCTTAAATCAAGATTGTATTTATTGGATCTTTGAATAGAGTTGTTGAATAGGTATTCAGGCAATTATTAGGTATTTACTTTCTGTAAGGATCAATTATTTTTAAATGCTTGTTTTCCAAATAGATTGAAGTAATGGGGTCAAATTTTCCGACTAAATATATGAATCTAATACATGAGTTTATTTTTAAATGTTTCAGTATGATATGAGTAGAAGACTGGCATGCAATAGTCTATAATAGGGTGTATGTTAATGTTGAAACAATTTTGCACTTGGTGTTAGAATTTAGAACATACTTAAATTAATATAGTGATTTCAGCTTCATATAACACAAACTAAGTTGTCTTGTAACATGGCTTTCAAAGTTCAGGTTTGTATAAATAATAAAAAAACACCCAGATTTCTTGCTGTTTCTTGCTGAGGTATTTCTATAATATTTATATGTATGGTATTAAAATTATATTGTTTTTTATTTATCATACACTGAAAGAAAAAAGCGGTCAGCGGTACCCATAGTAATGGTAAAATAGGCGCCAACCAATAGAACCTTAGTTGCTACCATTACAGAATGGTAATGAGTTATTGTTACGAATTGACATTACAGCAAAGTGATCGTTACCACTACTGCTTTAATTAAATTTTACCACTACATGTTGTTATACAATAACCGTTTTATTAAAACCTTTTACCACTACACACTGTTGAAACTTACGAATACATATTGGTATATGGTACGCTTAGTATATTATTTTAGCTACTTAAAATAGTTTTTAAAACAGGATATAACAGTAAGGCGAACCTTAGCCAAAATCATTGTTTAATTTGTATTATTGATTGCACTTACCCCTATAATTTGGTTTTCTCAACAGCAAGGTAAGGTAGTAAATAAATGACAATTATATTAAAAACGTTCTTTATTAAAATAAAATTATTTATATGAATTTCCACAAAAATATAAGTTAAATAGGACCTACAAAAATTATGCAATAACTAAATATAATAAAAAACATGGCGGATCCTTAAATTATCGTACAAATATCCTTAAATTATCGTACGAATATTTTTAGAGAAATTGAATTATGTAGTAAAAACCCAACCCAACCAATATATAAATAACATGTGTTTGTTAATTTAATTTTTGTTTGTAGTTTTTTTTTTCTTCTAAATTAGTGTTGCGCACACTTCCTAGTGAATGTGAGAAGTAAAAACCTTGCCGGTAACATAGGCATTAGGTAGGTATTATTTTAAAACATCGAGAGAAAACGAGTTATAGTTAACCCCCAAAAATCAATATTATAATACCTATGGGTAAAATGCGTTTTACGATCCGTACCGGTTAAAATGGGGAGTAGTTCCACAATATCCCAGTCCTTTTATAACTATTCCACACCTACTCACAACACGATAAAAACAGTATAGTATGATATCACAAAACTACGCACTATGCAAAGCCGTAAACAGACAACCACTAAATGGCCAAATTTTCCGTTGCTTCTTGATTCGTACCAAATTTCATTAATTATAACATTATTAGTATTAACCACTGTAGTGGTAAACGTCAAAAAATTACTATTTGTAGTGGTAAGCTATTTATTACGAACCAGTTGTAATGGTAAAATTATCCATGACGCAGAATTGTACAATTTTTAACTATTTTGTTATAATCCGTGCTACTTATAGTAGTGGTAAATTTAATTTACAGAGTATACCATTTCGTAGTGGTATATATCTCTCATTTAATATTAATCCTAATAACATTGTCCCTGTTGTAGTTAGTCAAAGTCACTTTACTACTACAAAAGTAAAATAAAAGTAAGATAATTTTTTTCAGTGTATATACTGTACCAATATTTATTACAAGACCCTTTTTGGCATTTAACTGAAGTCTATGATTAACTGACCAAGCATTTAATTCTTTTAAGACTTTATTTATTTCGATAGTGGTTGTGTTAATTAATTTAGAGTAACGCAAAATGTTTTTTTAAATTTAATAAAATCAAGCCAAGAGTTGCTAATTTTTTTTCATCAAAAGGCGTCTTAATAAAATAATAAAAAAAACTTAGACTGATACAGGCATTTGGTTTGTCTATGCAATAATACATGGGGTAACTTTTTGTTGCCATCGCAATTAAAATATATATAAAAAAATTTGGGCCCCCCAGGGCACCCTTAAATATTGGGCTAGAATGGCTATTTTTTTCGAAACATACTGTTAACATGAGGTTACTTTTTGTGGTTACCCCAATTAAAATATGAACAAAAAATATATTTTGGGCCTCCGGGGCACCCTTAAATTTTGGGCTAGTACGCTCATTTTTTTTTAGAATTACTGTTAATATAAGGTAACTTTTGTGGTTAACCCAATTAAAATATGATAAAAATAAATATTTTGGGCCTCCGGGGCACCCTTAAATATTGGGCTAGTACGCTCATTTTTTTTTCTAGAATTACTGTTAACATAAGGTAACTTTTTGTTCCCACCCCAGTCAAAACATACAAAAAAAAATATTTTAGGCCCCCGGGGGACCCTTAAATAATGGGCTAGTACGCTACATTTTTTTCTAATAAATTACTTTTAACATAAGGTAACCTTTTATTGCTACCCAAAAATAAATATCTCAAATATTTTTTTTTTACGTTTTTCGGCCCACCCTAATAAACATGTGATTTAAAATCATTTTTGATTTTTAAAATTGATTATTATTCGTGGAAGATAAGCCAATTACTAAACCACTGTAAACCCCGACCGATTTTAACGCACTGTATATACGAAACGCGTCACTCAATTTGATGAATATTGGAGTACAGTACATACCTCATGTACCTCAGGTATAAATATCTGATGTTGAGGCAGATAGGTGACGCGTTTTTCCTAACATTAACTGAAGACACTAGAGGATAAAAGGGACATTTCAAGTAGCATATTTACATTTTATTTAACATTAAATATTAATGGTAGAAAAAATAAAAGCCATAACTGTTCAAAACTTTTATTAAAAAAATATTTTTCAGTTCTTGTTCTTTATTATTAAAAAGTACACCTTTAATTTATTCTCAATAAAAATACTTTATACATGGTGTCCTATGGTCATCAGAATAAAGTTTTTGAGTTTTTAAAATTAGTTTCGTTAAGTTGTTTTTTTTTGTAATTATGGTCTTTTAAACAAATACCTCCTCTATTGCAGCTATTTTTGGAAACTTTATATTTTCTATAACCAAATGTTTTGATTATTATTTTTAATGCCATAACTTTTTAGCATCCATCTACAATTATAACCACAGTAAATGCGAGTTTACTGCACCTTTGGAAAATTCCTACAAATGTGATAGGGTTCAAACTTTAAATTTCACTGGGGTCACCGATCCGACATCTATGGCATATTTACATATTAGTCATGTTCAATTGCAAGCTTTCCATAACACTACAGGAACTCATTTTAATTCGGGTAAGCTATTATTCTTAAGTAAAAATAAGGGAGCTTTTTCTAATTTGTAATTTTCTATTTTTTTAATTTGTTTAGCTATTGACTGTGAAGGTAGTTCATCTGCAGATGTCGTACCCATTGTAGTAGGCTGTGTGTTGGCTGGATTGGTGCTAATGGTTTTGGTGGGATATCTGGTTGGAAGAAGACATTGTCAAGCTAGAGGCTACCTATCAATGTGAGTGACATAATAATATGGTGGCTCACAGATGGGGTGCCAAATATGCATAATTATTATCCTAACACTTTTATTTCCAAAAAATATTAATAATTTTAAATATGCATAATACAGTTTTTAGTTAAATAATGATTTAGTATTTTTTGGAAACAAATTATCTTAATATATTAATTTGGAATTTGTGATTTATTAAAGTTATTTGGAAATTTTGCGCATTGATTGAATTGAAATTTTTTATTAATAGTTAATAATTTAATTTAATTGATGGAATCAGTTTGTACTAAAAATAAAATATACATGACAAATAAATTTTAAGTTACCCAGTTTTTAGTAGGTACCTAGTGTCATATTAAAAATAGGACAATGAACTAAAGAATCTTAAATTAATAATAATTGGTTTTTAACTTGGTTCTAATAATTTTATAAAAATTATAAATAGTCAAACCTCCATGACTTAAACTTATCTAGTGTATATAATGTACTCAATCTCTATTAGCTTAACTTTTTTTGTCAAAATTTGAGTTGTAGAGGTTTAAATAAATTTAAAATATTTAACAAAATAAATGCATACAAACTTACCCGTTTTTTAAATACTTGATTATATTTAATATATAAAATCACTTAAACATTTTATTTAAAAAAGTAATATTGGTCTGAATAATTTTGGCTGTGAAATACGTTTTCTGTAATGTTACAATGTGCAAAAATAAATGTTCTGGGACATGGATTATTCTTTTATTTTACCCACCAAACCCCCTTTCTGTAGCCACTATGTAGTTGTAATTGTTAATTAATTAGTAACTGTAGTTAATTTTAGGTTTTCTGAAACCAAAAACGAAGCTGATTATATTCCAATGAAAAATCTAAGTTGCTTTAATTAGAATCTAAAATTATTTTATACTTTGACATTTAAAGAACAAAAACATGGTAAGTATTTTATTTTAAACTCTTAAGCAAACCATTATTTTATTAAATCCAACATAATGATCTCACTTAAAACCGTTTTTATAATTAAAATGATTTTGATAATTGATACTTAACACAAATTGTAAAAAGTGAATAATTTAATTAATTTCTAATTGTTTAGCAGTATTCATACAATTTATTTTTATGTACATATATAGGACATTCAACGCTTAATTCTACTAAAACGTTTCTGTAATATTTTCCCTTTTTGAACCCTTTTTTAAAATGCTCGAATCTTTTTTTAAAAACTGAGCTGCTTTTTTAAATTTTTTGTATTTAAGCATACTTTTTAGTCATATATAAAAAAATTAAGGATTTTTAGAAAAAAAGTGACAAACTTTAAAAAATTGATAATTTTTTCTGAAAAACTGAAAAATGCACGACATTAAATGTTTTGTTTGTATTTTTAAGTACTTAAAAAAACATGTTGATTATTCAGTTTTAAAAGAGTTGTGAGCATTTTAAGGAAAGCACCATTTTTTATAGTAGATTGGCATGGAATGTTCCATATGTATTGCAAAAGATGAATTGTTGATGTACATCGACAATTTATTCACTTGCTTAATGACGAAATATTATTATAGCACATAGTATGTTTTTAAATAAGTGTTTTTCACCAAAGTGCATTGTAATTTTATAAGGATAAGACTTAATATTTGTCTATTATTTGCATAAGTGATAATTAATTTAGTATTGTTATTATAATGTATTATTAGGTTGTGTATGTACTGACTACATTGGGATCCTTTTTTAATATTGTGATAACTTTAAAAAAATATTATTGAATAGGATCTACATTGGGATCCTTTTTTAATATTGTGATAACTTTAAAAAAATATTATTGAATAGGATCTGATCTAGTCAATTGTTTTAGTATGATTAAGAATTTTGGTTTAGTTTAATTTTTATTTACGAAATAAATAAGATGTTTTTACAATAAATTATGTTTTTTATTAGCCTGATAAATAGATAGAAAAGAGATAACACAATTGTTTTGGGATTTAAATATAATAACTAAATTATTATAACTTACATAAAAAATTAAATCAATTGTTTATTAATACTGTCTGAATTTCAGACATAAATTTAATATAACATTAATGAACAAATAGTGCAAAATATTAAGTACATTCATTTAATTATTGTATTAAATTATAATTACACAATAATAGATTTTTTCTTAAACATAATTTAATTTACATTTGGAATTATATTTACATTTTCATAAAAACTAATTCTTTAAAAAATAAACAGTCCAATATTCAATTTGATTTTTAATAAATTAAAATCACATACATTAACATAAACTGTTTTTGGATTGATTTTTTAAATCAAGTTAATTTGAAGTGTTTATTTTTGTTAATAAAAATTAAATAATATTACCCGAAACAATATCACAGAAATAAATTATTTACCTAGTATTAATGAACTATTTGCCAAATCTACAAGGCAACAGTGGTTTAGTATCTTAGTTTATAGGACTTTTAATACAGTAATAGACAAAACACCATGTCATTTTTTAATAAGTTATAACCAACAAATTTCCATTTAAGAAAATACATATTAATAAAACATGTATTTCCTAAATTTTGGGCTAGAAATTTGTTTTAAAATGAAAAAATAAAATAATCTTATTTCAAAACTGATTTGCTTTTACAAAACCAATACATATTTTAATGTTATAAGAAGAGTACAACCTGTGTAATCATAATATTAACAAATAATGAATACGAATTTTATTGTTGTATCACTAAGAATATTAAAAATACTTTAAAAAAATAAAATTCCGTTTGCCATTGTACTCATCTTATGGTTATCCCTGAGATTAAATAATTTAAAAACATAATTTAGTTATTAAGTAAATTAATACGGTTATTACTAATAATAAAGTATAAAAAATTAAGTATTGACTTGGCAAAATAAAAATTAAAACAAAAATAACACATTTTTTTTTAACAAAATGGTTATGTTTTGTTTGTAAATAAATAATAAAATAAATAGTAACTTGCATGCATTTGGAATTTGATAAACCGAATTACGTTGGTATTTGATGATAATTGTATGAGGCAAGTAAATGGCCATTATAAATGGTTATAATCTTTTATTTTATGATCATTCCAAAATGTTTTTAGACAATAATAAAGTAATTGTGAAAATGGCGCACTAACCGCGGAATGCCACGCTGTAGGAGCATAATAGTATATTCTGTAACAAGTTTCCAAACGTGTTTCAGACTATACTTTTTCTACGTTTCCAAAAAATACCATAGAAAAATAATTTAATTGGAAGAAAGTGAGGTTGGATCGGTCTAAAATTTGTTAATTTTAAAAACAGAAATGTCGCCACGAGTGATTATTCTGTCATATAGAATATTTCATTCTGTAACACTTTACGGAATATATCTCATTCCATAGATAAAAGTGATATTACAACGGTCAAATTCCGTAATAGGAGTAGAAAAACTATTTTTTTCCGACGAGTATTTTTGGACTTATAAGGTTCAAAAATTGAATTTTATTTTTGTTATAATAATGTTTTAAGATTTCTTTTTTTTATATAAAAGGTTGCAAAACAAGTAACAAAGTAACTTAAACTGTCAGAAAATACAACTTTCAACGATGCTATTTTCAGATTGCATCGTTTATTTTGTTTAACTTAAACTGACATTTTTGTATACTTAAAATACCGTCTCCTACAGCGTGGCGTACCGTTATCGCGCCATTTTCTGGACATCCTTATAATATAAATTCGGTTAAAGTAAAACACGACACTTTATAGTTTAAAAAAATGGTCAGCAAAGATGTACTGTTTGTTTGGCCCTTTTGGATATTAGTAGGTATTTGAATTGGGGTGACGTTCACAATATCGAAATTCATTATATCGATATTATGAACGTCACCCTTTGAATTGTAATAAAAAAATAATTTGGCTTGAAACCAAAAAAAAATATTTACAATAATTTTAAGTTTTACAATTTTGGATTTTTACATGTTTTAAAAACATTTAGATAAAAAATCTAAAATTCACTTTTATAAGTACCTGAACATTTTGTCTTAAATAAATAAAACTATTTTGATTTTCCAAATATGATAATTGATATAATTAGGTTTATTAATTGTAGAGTTGGGAACGGTAAATCTAGTTTAAAAAAAGATTTGGAACAGACATTCATATTGTTAATTATTAAATTATTGGTAAAATACTTCATTATGATCACAGGATGTGCGGCCACTGACTGAATAGTCGCACATAATAGTATATTATGCGACTACTATTGGGGAAAAAGTAGATTCCTCGAGCGTGGAGTTTTAACCTCTTTTCCCAATTAATTAACTTCAGCCGGTGATTTTTGAAGTTAAATATCAAAATATTATTGCATAATATTGTTTCTCGATTTTTATGTAAGAATGTCATATTCTCGCACGCAAAATCGTTGAAGAATGAAGCTCATTCTTAAACGATTTTTGGTAACATTTAGTTTTTAAATATTGGTACCCCCAAAATGTCAAACTGATTAATAACCTCAAATTCATTACTTTTATTGAAAATGAAGCCTTTATTATTGTTTTGTAATATAAAGTTTGCTCCAACAATGCATTTTAATGCAAAATTTTAAGTTTAATGTGTAAAAGTGCAGTTCAGGTTGTACTTGTGCAGGATAACAAATATTGTCATTTTGTGTTGCCAACTGACATTTTGCGAGAAAAATCCCCTAACTAACAACGACCACAAAACAATTAAAAAAACCTAAATAAAAGTTAAAATCGAGAAAATAGTATAAATCACACGTTGCAGAAGGCTATTCTCGCACTCATTCGTTCGTCCACTCGCTCCTTCGTCGCTCGAGGCCAAATTTCGAATTCGTGCGAGAATATGTGGCCTTCTGCAACTTGTACTTTAATATACTATTTTTTCCGTATATAATAATAAACATTATTATTATTATAGTCTCGGCCCAGCCGTCGAGTGAGTAAGTCGATGTAGCAGAGTCGGAGAGTGAACGTAAAACGATAAAACCATAACCAACAAATAAACCCT